TTATTTCAGTTTCTGCCACTTAATTAATTTGTGTATTCAACTCAAATTATGACAATGTTTTAGCTTAAATAACTATCCATGGCTATTTCGTGTCCCTATACTCACAGTATAATATTTCTCACTCTGCTATGTGCTTATAGCTGTTACTCTTTTAGGTGACAAGGTTTAATGGGATCAAGATGAGGAATGAATCGCTGTGTTGTTTTTTTTCTTTTTTTCCTTTTTTAAGATTTCTATCTTTTTTTTCAGACTCTTCTAATACAATAAAGCCCAAATGACTATGTTTATTTCCTTTTAATAAACATTTGGTACCCAATTATTTTATTTTAATTTATTTCATTTATCCGCTTGCGCTACGACTACATAATTATTCGAATTATTTTATTTTTATCTTGTTGTGACGCCGAGCCTTTGGGTACCGGGTTGGGTCGTCACAAAAGTGGTATTAGAGCAATGGTTTTTTTAAAAAAAAAAAAATTGTATAAAACAAAATTTTATATGTTTTTGAAATTTCCTGTACAATTATTCACATTAATTGAAATTCACATTATTTGAATTGCAAAAAAAAAATTAAATTTTTTTTTATTAACCTTGTATTATTTGATATTATGTGGTATGTCTAATGCAAGTAAACCATGTTATAATGTCTAGGCTAAGTTTTCCTGTGTTGTAGGAAATGGCTAACCTTATGTAGTTGTTTTGGTTCAAGTCCCCAGGAGCTCATCTTGCCCAAACTCATTAAAAGGCTGGGGTGATTCGGAGAGTCTTATCAGGCAAGCCCGTCCCGTACTTGACCGACTCATGGGACGACCCGTGTATTTGCAAGCCAACCTCGATGAGGATTTCTTATTCTGGAGACTTAGTCGAGGCAGCACTTGTGAGAGATACATAGGGCCAACCCATGTCGCTGGTCTTGCTCCGGACCTAGAACAGCTGCATTTTCTGGTTGCACCTCTACCCCTAGCCTTTACAGAGAGGAGGGGACACGCATATCCTAGCAGCCACATCCGCACCACGATACCTTCTCCACAGCACATTGTCCATACCCCAACTGTGGACTTCACTGACAGTGCATCATACATGGAGGTACTGGTACAAATTATCGGACGGGAGTTTTGGAGTTATGATCATGGTGTTTCTGTCTACATAGTCCAGGTGGTATAGAGTTGCTTTGGAATAGAGCACAGTGGGTGGGAGTTCGAGTCCCTCATGCGGAGTGAGTTCGCGGGGTTATTTCATGGGCCAGTTTTCCTGGGCCAGTTCTCATGGTGGTGGCCTAACGGTCCCTTCTAGATGTCCGACCAGGAGATCCTTTTTGTGACCTGACCATGATTAGTCCAATCTAATTTTGTATCAGTAGGATTAGACATCAACTCTTGACGGCTGGACTAACGCCTTATGTATAATAATAATGATGTATATATGATGTTTTATGTGGTATTAATGTAGTAATATTAATGTGATAGTAAAACTAGTAAAACTAATATGTTATATATGACGTTGTATCAAAGTTGTATCAATGTGATGTCACCCTTATATCATTTTACCTTGTAGTAATGGCCAATGAAGGAAATGAAACCGGATCATCAGCCAGTGGTACCATCCCAATGAAACAAGTCATGGAAAGAGCAGTCACCAACTTTTTGCAGTTTGCAAACCGGTATAACCAATGGGACATTAGAGAGACGAGAAGAACTGACTACGATTAAACAATTTCAGGATCTAAAACCCACCACGTTTATCGGCGGTCCAAACCCACTAGTGGCAGAGGCTTGGGTTAGGGACATAGAGAAAATATTTCGTGCGCTACCTTGCACAGAAAGACAAAAGGTGACTTTTGCCACATTCACCTTCAAAGACGATGCACAGGAATGGTGGCTTCTTATCCTGGAGAAGGAAGATATTGTGACTTGGGCAAGATTTTTAGAGATATTCTATGAAAAATACTTTCCAGATTCACTACGGGAACAAAAGGCGTCAGAATTCATACATCTAAGGCAAGGAACCATGACAGTGACTGAATATGAAAGCAAGTTCATGTAATTGGCCCGATTCGCGACACACGTCATCCCCACCGAAGCTTAAAAAGCTAGAAAATTTGAAGCAGGATTGAATCTTGAAATTAAGGACAGTTTGGAGGTTTTGAAACTACCAACCTATACGGCGGTGGTAAATCGAGCTTACATTGCAGAAAAAGGGATTAAAACCTTGCGCTCTGGGGAACCAAGCTAGAGGAAGCGATTTTGGGAAAGAGATAACAGAAGGCTCGGTGTTGCGCCTCCTAAGAGGGTAAATACAGGCACAACCAATTCAACTAGTTCAACCAATCAAGGTCTTACAAATCCCAGAGGTGGCACCATTCCAGCTTGTTCTACTTGTGGAAGGACTCATTAGGGACAATGCCGTGGAGATATAGGAGCGTGCTTTAGATGTGGCCAAGTTGGCCACTTGCTGAGAGATTGTCCAAAGCTCGCCAGTCCTACAGCCGGCCCCTCTGAACCATTCCAAAAACCTGCGGTACTTGGAGGAGTGAGAAAGGACCAAAAATGCCAAGGAAGAGCTTTTGCCATGGTGCCTGGAAACCCAAAAGTTATAGAGAACGTTGTGTCAGGTACACTTTCTGTTTGTGGTCACTTAGCCCATGTTTTCTTTGACTCTGGTTCAACTCATTATTTTGTTACATCACACTTTGCTACCAAGTTGGCATCAACACCCGAACCCTTAGGATATGTATTGTCTTTTTTTCCTTCTGGTAATTCTGCCTTTAGTACTAATATGTACAAATCTTATACTATACCCTTAAAAGGTAAAACCTTGCATGTAGATTTGATTCCCCTTTGCTTTAGTACCTTTGATGTGATATTAGGAATGGATTGGTTAGCTGCCAACCGTGCCTCTATCGATTGTGAAGCCAAAAAATTCTTCCTCTGGTCACCAAACCAACTCGAGCTTGTCTTCGAAGGAACTGGAGCCTCTCCCCCTCCATGTATTATATCCTTTATGACAGCCCAACGGCTACCAAGAAAGGGTTGTTGTAGTTGTATCTGTTATGTGATCAATACTCAACAAGAGACCCCCACACTTGATGCAATCCCTATGGTTTGAGAATTCCCAGATATATTTCTTGAAGACCTGCCTAGTACCCCAGTTGATCGAGAAATCAAATTCACCATTGAAGCCCAACCTGGTACACAACCAATCTCAAAGACCCCTTACCGTATGTCCATGATAGAATTGAAAGAACTAAAAACCCAACTCCAAGAACTACTGGACAAAGGCTTCATCCGACCAAGTACCTCACCATGGAGAGCTCCAGTACTGTTCATAAAGAAAAAAGATGGTACAATGAGGCTATGCATTGATTACCAGGAGCTAAATAAAGTCACCATCAAGAATCGATACCCTCTACCTCAAATTGACGACTTGTTTGATCAACTGCAAGGCGCCCAAGTATTCTAAAAAATTGACTTGCGTTCCGGTTACCATCAACTAAAAGTCAAAACAGAAAGCATCGAAAAGACTACCTTCAGAACTCGTTACGGGAACTACGAGTTTCTCGTCATGCCATTTGGTGTCACAAACGCTCCAGTGGCCTTCATGGACCTCATGAATCGAGTGTTCAAACCCTATCTTGACAAGTTCGTCATTGTCTTCATTGACGACATTCTTATATACTCCAAATCGCCAAAAGATCATAAGCACCACTTGCGAAGAGTTCTATAGATATTACGTGATCACAAGCTTTATGCCAAGTTGAAAAAATGCGAATTCTGGATCACTAGTGTACACTTCCTCGGTCACGTCACTAATAAAGATGGCATCTCAGTTGATCCCCAAAAGGTTACAGCAATCGTGGATTGGCCACGACCTACTAATGTGTCTGAGATTCGAAGCTTCTTGGGCCTAGCTGGCTATTACCGGCGCTTCGTGCAAGATTTCTCAAAGATAGTTTCACCCTTGACCCAGCTAACTCAGAAGAACACACCTTTTGAATGGACCGACAAGCAGGAAAGTTGCTTCCAAAAATTGAAGAACAGACTCGTGATGGCTCCTATACTAGCACTCCTCGCGGAAATAGAAGGGTTCATAATTTATAGCGATACCTCATACAATGGTTTGGGTTGTGTTCTTATGCCAAATGGGAAGGTCATTGCTTATGCTTCCTGCCAACTAAAAACTCACGAAAGGAACTACCTAACTCATGATCTGGAATTGGCTACGGTGATCTTCGCCCTCAAGATCTGGCGTCATTATCTCTACGGTGCAACCTGTGAGATTTACATTGATCACAAGAGTCTCAAATATCTGTTTACACAAAAGGAATTGAATATGAGGCAACGACGATGGCTAGAATTTATGAATGACTATGATATAGAGATCCATTACTATCCCGACAAAGCTAACGTAGTAGCAGATGCATTAAGTCGAAAAATGACCAAAAGTTTGGCATGTACCCTCGTTTCCCGCAAGATCAATGGACTGCTTGCCAACATAATCGTGGAACCCAAGTTGATTGAAGAAATTAGAATCCGCCAATGTGAAGATAAACTTTTGATGAAAAAGTACAAGGAACAAGGAAGCACGCTTGATCCTAACTTCACGATAAGTAATGGGATGCTAAAATTTCGGAATCGAATTTGCATACCCGACCTTCCAGAACTCAAGAAAAGGGTATTGGTAGAAGCTCATAGCTCAAGGTTTGCGATTCACCTTGGTAATACGAAGATGTATCACGATCAGAATCATGTACTCCCTCTCTAAGTTCACCACTCTATACATTAAGGAAATCATTCGTTTGCACGGCACCCCAGTTTCAATCGTATCTGATAAAGACCCCCGCTTCGTGTCTCATTTCTGGAACAAATTACAAGAAGCTTTGGGAACCACTCTGAAGTTTAGCACGCCTTATCACCCGCAAACTGATGGGCAATCCAAAAGAACAATCCAGACTTTGGAAGATATGTTACGTGTATGTGTGCTAGACCTTAAAGATAATTGGGATGATCACCTACCTTTGGTGGAGTTCACCTATAATAATAGCACCATACGAGGCACTATATGGAAGAAAATGTCGATCACCTCTGTGTTGGACAGAAGTCGGAGACAAGAAACTATTAGGCCCCGAGATCGTGCAAATAACAAGCAATAAAATTCAACTCATCCAACAGCGAATTCGCACTACCCAAAGTCGCCAGAAAAGCTATGCGGATACGAGAAGATGGGACTTAGAATTTCAAATAGGAGATCATGTGTTCCTAAAGATCTTACCCACAAGAAGGGTTATCCGATTTGGAAAACGAGGAAAGTTAAACCCATGTTACATCGGGCCATTTGAGATACTAGAAAGAATTGGTCCTGTGGTATATCGCCTTGCGCTTCCACCCGAACTGTCCAATGTCCATAATGTGTTTCACGTTTCGATGCTTCGACGGTATCTTCGAGATCCAGAGGATGTTGTTGATTATGAGAACTTGGAAGTGCAAGAAGACCTCTCTTATAAAAAGCAATCTGTACAGATTCTCGATTGTCGTGATCAGGTCCTTCGAAATAAGACTATACCTCTCGTAAAAGTCTTATGGAGAAACCATCGTGTTAAAGAAGCAACGTGGGAAACTGAAAGTCAAATACGAGCCAAATATCCACACCTTTTCGAAAACCAAGGTATGTAATATTTGGGGACAAACTTCTTTTAAGGAGAGGAGAAATGTGACATTCGAATTTGTAAATTTTATTCAATACTGCAATAAATAGAATTCTTTATTATTATAAAAAAATAATATAAAAAAATAAATAAAATAAAACAAAACAAATAAATAAAATAAAACAAAAAATAATAATAATAAAAATAAAAATAAATAACTAAATGAATAAATGCATAATTTAGGAAATTGGAAATTGTTAAGGAAATAAGTTGCTAGGCACCACACGTTAAATATTTCAATAAGTGGTTAGTGATGTTTTATAATTGGATAGTGAGGTTTTATAGTTGGATAGTGAGGTTTTTCGACATGAACCTAATGTATAATCATAAGTAATTTTAGAAATTATAACCTTTAGAATTGAATTAAAAAAAAAAAAACCAAGTAAATTTCGGTGGGGGCCAAGGGTCAACTTGGCCCTTGGTGATATCATGGAGATGAAAGCAAGGGTCAAGAAAATAGCAAAATAAGAAGCATCTGCATGTCCACTTGGTCCCCTCATAAACAGATGGCACGAGAGGGGGGTGGGATGTACATGTGATCTCGTAAGCTTGGGCCTCACTCTTGTTCAAGTATAAATAGAGGGCATTGGGGTAAAGTGAGCAACAAAACTTAAAAAAGTTCGGGAATACGTGGTGATATCATGGAGATGAAAGCAAGGGTCAAGAAAATAGCAAAATAAGAAGCATCTGCATGTCCACTTGGGCCCCTCATAAACAGATGGCACGAGAGGGGGGGATGTACATGTGATCTCGTAAGCTTGGGCCTCACTCTTGTTCAAGTATAAATAGAGGGCATTGGGGTAAAGTGAGCAACAAAACTTAGAAAAGTTTGGGAATGTGTGAAAAATAAAAGAAAATTTATAGCAAAAGTGAGTTATATTATATCTTGACCTACCATAATATGTTTTAAATATGTCTTGAGTTACCATAATATATTTTACGAATGTTTTGAGTTATCGTAATTTAATTTATACAATTTACGTTTTATGGTTATGTTAATGTTTCAATTACGTTGATTATTTTTCTGAACTCCAATTGCTTAAATTAAAACCCATGGATATGTTTATTTACATTTTAGAAATTATTTGACAATGATCTTGTAACCAATTGTTTTCTGTAAGTACCACCATGGGAGTCTCATGCCTTGCGGGACTTAAATAACCATTGGCTCCTGTTTGACCACTTTGTAGTCCCCTGTTTGTCATGGATACATTGACCCCTGTTCTGATTGTCACTCTAGTGACCCTTGTTCTATTCTGTTTTGTACCGTGGTTATAATTATTTATTTCAGTTTCTGCCATTTAATTTGTGTATTCAACTCAAATTATGTCAATGTTTTAGTTTAAATAACTATCCATGGCTATTTCGTGTCTCTATACTCACAGTATAATATTTCTCACTCTGTTATGTGCTTATAACTGTTACCCTTTCAGGTGACGAGATTTAGCGGGATCAAAATGGGAAATGAATCGCTGTGTTGTTTTTTTTATTTCTTTTTTTAAGATTTCTATCCTTTTTTTCGAACTCTTGTAATACAATAAAGCCCAAATGACTATGTTTGTTTGCTTTTTATAAACATTTGGTACCCAATTATTTTATTTTAATTTATTTAATTTATCCGCTTGCGCTACAACTACAAAATTATTCGAATTATTTTATTTTTATCTTGTTGTAACGCCAAACCTTTGGGTACCGAGTTTGGGTCATCACAAACCGGCATGCACAAATTTGAGTGATTTCGAGCAAACTCAAATTTGAGTTTCCAAACATTATTAAAAAAAAAAAAAATTAGCTACAGGACTCAACACATGTCTGAGACCAAACAAAACGACTTACGAATTTAATTAGCATTTGCACTAAGAGCATCTCCAACGGTTGAACAAAATTTTCACCAAATTTGAGTAAAAAAAAGTCAATTTTCTCATTCTGATACCAACAGCTCCAACCGTTCACTATAGCGTGCATCAAACAGAGAGGGTTGTCCGGGTGGTCGACCGGTTGGTCGACTGGTAAGAGCAAATTTTCAGTTTTTACCTTCATTTCTATTGCTTGAAAAAATACTAAAGTGGTCGATCGGGTGGTCGACCCTATAGTGTAAAATTTTCACAAATTTCTGCTTCAACGGCTATGCACAGTGAGTTGGTGAAAGGAGCAAGTCATCCTCAGTTTAGTGAAAGGTTTGATATTTTCTCAATTTGATACTGTTTTGGTACAACCGTTGGAACACAAAAAGTAACTTTTTTTCATCAAATTTGAATTTGATGTTGGATTTGATGAACGGTTGGAGATGACCTAATTAAATGTCATGTAACTTCATTTTAATAAATTCATAAGTAAAATTTGTGTTCTTTCTTTTCTTTTCTTTTCTTTTTTCTTTTTTTTTTTCCTTCTTCTCAAAATTGGTGTTGTTTGATTTACGTTTTGAAAACTACTTTTTAAAATTTTTAATGCTTTTTTTGAGTCATATTTTAGTCAATTTTTTTCTTTTTAAATACATCTAATCCAAATGTATTTAAAAACTAAAATATTTATGAAAAATTTTAAAAAAAATTATCAAAGATAAAAATTAGATATGTCTAAAAGGTTTTTTTTTTTTTTTTTTGAACATTTATTTTTAAAAAATAATAAGGACAAATAAACACAAGAAAAAACAAAAACTCAAAAGCAATTTTTGAGTTGAAAATCAAACAAGGTGATGAGTTAAAAAATATATATATATACGGAGAGATAAAATCTAATACTATATAATAAGAGGCAGAAATTAGGTTAGACCTGAATTCTATCATTATAATAATAAAAAAAAAAGTAATCAAGAGTAGCACTTCTGTTTCTTTTATTTTATAAAAAAAGAAAAGAAAAAGAAGAAGGTATATTACACTAGTCACTCTTAAAATTTAAAAAATATATATATAATAAGTCTTATAGGTTTGAAATAATTACATTGACCTTTTTGAGATTTGAAAAAAATATAACAAATTTTACAGTTTTGATATAATTATACTGACCACTTTTTAGGTTAAAGAAACAATTTTTAATGATGTTAAAAATTTATTTTAAATAACAATTCAGTTAATTTCATTATTACATAAGAGCATAGTTATAAGTTTTATTTTTTATATTAAATAAAAAATTCTGACAATAAATTATTTATATAAAAAATAATTTATATTTTAAATAAATTTTAAGAGATATATTTATAATTTATTTTAATAATAATAAGTAAATAAAATAAAAGAGCTAGCGTAGGGGGCATTCTTGTAAATTAGGCGAACGCGTCGACCCCTCATAGCCGGCGAAAAATCTGCGGGCTTCCCATCTCTTCCAACGCGGCCACTTGTGCCGCGTGCTCGTCAAAAGATATGACCCCTTTGACTTTGCGCTTTTAAAGTCCAATATCAATAATACATTGGAATAGGATAATGGACGTCAACCCAAGGTGAGTAGCAACTTGGTAAGGGTATGGGATTTAAGCCTCTAAGTTCTGGGTTTAACTTGTTTCTGGGTTAATTTTTTAGGCGTAGCACAGTTGGATAGAAGGTTGACTTTAAAGATGCCTTATCAGCTACTTGGTGTGGGTTTAATTCTTCTTCGCTGTGCGAGTCCTGACTTAAACGGATCGAGACAAGCTTCTAGGTTATAGCCTCTTACTCGGAACGGACAATAGGACACCCTGGTGATCGGTGTGGGTTTAATTCTCCCCCGCTGTGCGAGTCCTGACTTAAACGGATCGGGACAAGCTTCCAGGTTATAGTCTCTTACTCGGAACGGACAATAGGACACCCTGGTGATCTCCTCAAGGGGCGCTGCCTTGGACCTGCGGGAGAGTGGGAGGATTTTCCTATAACAAAAAAAAAAAAGGATAATGGACGTGATTGGTGTGACTTTTTTTTGAGTCAATTTATAAATTTTAATTTAAAAAAAATTATTTTAAATTATTTGATTAAATTTATTTTAAATAATTTTTAATTGTAATAATTTATTTTAATTTTAAAAAATTGATTCTGAAAAATTGTTCACTCCTACTTTTAATTATTAGTTTTTGATTATCACAACTGATTTACAATTATACCCTTAGAATTTTTTTGTGAAAATATAAAAAGGCTTAAATGGATTGCGGACTAGTTTTTTATTTTTATTTTAATGAAAAATGTGGATTAGTCATTAATAATAAAAAATAAAAGTTAATTTAATTTATAATTATCATAGGTAAAAAGGACATTTACACATTAAAAATTATTTAATAGTTTATTTACCAAACACTACCATTGGCTTTTTTGACTTTCGAAAGTTAGTATTGTAATTTTAAATGTGCCAGTAAGGATCAATTAACCCTTACAGAAGATTAATTACCAACCAATTATCAGACGATTGTATTTTAGTTCTTTTAACCTCAATGAAGAGGATTTTTACTGGTGGCTTGTTTAGGAGAATCTAATAAATAACAATTAAGTGAAGAATAATTGTAAAATTTCATTAAGTAAAATGAAAAACTTGCAATGATCTGACCCAGCCTCGTAGAGGTTTACACCAACAAGTTATTTGAAACTACTCCTATGAATGAAGTGCAATACAGGAATTTGAAATACAGAAATATAAAGAACTGTAAAAACTGGAAGGGAAAATAAAGTAGATAAAACTAGTTTTTTGATCTGTGTCTGAATCCTCTTTTCTCGGGCCTTCTCTGCTATTTATACTTCTCAATGATAACCGTCGAAGTGAGCTCCTAACCGTCAAAATATCCTTCCATGATCGCTGATCATGCTCTCTCACAGTTAGCTCCACTACGCCATGTTTGCAATTAGGCTTCACTCCTGATTTTGAATTTGAACATAGTGAGTAACCGCTAAGCCACATCACCTTTTATCCCTCGATCATTCCTGTGCTACGCAAACCCATTATTACCAGTATGGGTTGACACGTGTCTGACTATGGTTGGCAATTTATATTACCTCCCCAAATTGCCCTTTTCATGCCCGTGTTGAATTGTGATTAGCTTATACAAATTTTACAGCCAACATTACCCCCGCACTAATATACCCAATACTTGGTGATATTAGTGGATCAAAACACTTTACACACGTCCTACGACATGCATGGGTTTTGCATCTTCTTAGAACTGCAACTGACTGCATTAAATTCTTTTCTATACCTTGAAAATTTCCCACTATATGAGCATTCGAAAAGACTGATATAGCTCGCATAGCCAAATAAACCTTGTTTGACATAGATCAAGCATACGAGGAGTTGTTAGATAATGATGTTCACCCTCGAAAGAATTTGCATGCATTTATTAGCCACACCTATCCACCTCAATTTATTCAAGTCATGGAAGCT